GGCCCGCGCGCTTTAGCGTCGCGTCGTCATGTGCAGGCCCGCGTAGTCACGTGTAGGCTGCACTACGTAGTAGTGCAGCCAGATATCGGGTTCAACCCGTCACACTGTCCTCAGCTCTTCACCTTAGTATTCTAAGAATGGATCACCTCTTGCATCTCAACCTGATCTGGTCTGTCACAAAATTTTTTTTTTTTTAAATAAATTTGTCACAGACCGGTTCAGGGTATAAGCAAGAAGAGATCTATGCCTTAGAATCTAAAGGTAAAGAGGGAAGAGAGAGTCTCTGATCGACCATATATACAGGAGTGTGATCACGTGGTGCGCCACAGGGCCAGTGGTGAAACTAGAACTATCACATTACCTTCCCCTTCCAATAGATCTGGTCCCTAGATCTGAGAGTCTGAGTAACCATTTAATTGCTATCCAATCTATTAACCTAATCCTGCCCAGGCAAACGTAAGATGCCAGCTCTTATTTCGAAAGGCTTAATAAAAAGATCGAGATTTTGGCGTTGTGGCAGTCAGGTGCTAGCTCTCAATTCGATAAAGGGATGTTGTGGAATAGCACTTGTACCAGGCCTTGTAAGCCTGCAAGTCATCTATATTCTAGTGTCGAATAATACTTGCTCTAGTAACGTTTTCACTTAGAAGTGATGTCGTAGTAGAGGCTTTTACCGAGGCACATCTCAATACCGGTCACATGGCATAGCTGAGCTAATACAACGTCGAAGCGTAGCCAGGTAAGAAAAAGGGGCCGCAACTGGCATAAAGCATCTCACTGGTCTCTTCTAAATTAATGAAATGGAGGACGCAATCTAGTGAGGGCCTTCTGTGGGTCTCTTCCGAATTGGAGGACGCGATCTCACAGAAGCTTCTACTTCTTCACTCTTATTACTACTAGTATCACTTTCCTCAATAGGAGCAGAAGTAATGCTAGCATTCGTATGCAAGGCATAACTTAGAGCCTAGTTCCGAAACTCTAAGTCAGTACTCTCAGCAGCATTGCACAACTCCTTAAAGTTACCTTGGAGGTAGTACATTTGAGCTGAGAGCGCCGTCCGAATAGATGGTGAAAGCTTACTCCTAAAATCACTGAACAAGTGCTGTTGATCTATAATGCTAGCCCTGGCAGCCAAGGTAATAAACTGGATTTTAAACTCAAAAACCGTCTGAGATCCATCAATAGCCATAACCAAACGTGCATACGCATTTCTGGCATTAACTTGTTCAAAACGATTAACAAAACAACGCGCCAAAAGATCAAATATAGAACTCGAATTAGCAAAAGGATTCTTAATCTAAGGCTGGGCTCGATTTGGTAGTCGAGTGAGGAGCTGCTCCCTAGCTATGCCTCTTGTTCGACTAAACAAGTATAGCATTTTGGACTCTTCATCCGGGAAGCCACCAAGACGCAGCTTTCCCTCCATCTCAAGAAGCCAGGTCTCGAATGTCGGGTCCTTACCATCTGACAGCTTAGGTGGATCAGGCAGCCTGACTACTACTGGTCTAATAGAAGCTAAGGCGGGTTTGCTGATGCGGAGTGGTTCAGTTTGATATTCAGGACCGAGAGCATGCGTAGGATCAAGAGAGGGTCCATTCCCAGGGGAAGTCCGAGCACGTCGGTTGTTGGAACGCCGACTAGAACGTCGACCGCCTCGAGATGGAGATCTGCGCCCCGGGTGTAATAGATCGATATTCTGGCGCTCTAAAGAATCGGGCTGAGCTAGAATCCGTTCTATCAATAGCTCTAATCTCTCGACTAAGTGCTGCAATTGACGAATAGTGACGTCCGAGCCAAGGGGTGGTCTATTCTCAGCAATGCGGTCGAGATGAGGGGTTTCAGAATCAAGGTGAGGGCGATCCCTCTCGATCGAGGAATAAGTCGGGGAATGGATCGAGGGAGAGTCGGGAATAACCTCATTCTGGTCCAGCCGCAAGTTGAGGTCGCTGATTTTCTGAGAGAGATGCTCAAGATCGTGTTGTTGATTCGACATAATCGTCGGGGGATATCGATTTGTTGGAGGAGAGTAAGGAGGAGGTAATTGGTGTAATAGGCTGTATTAATACTACTTCTTTTACCTGACGTTTTGGCCTAAACAAGTAGAGAAGAGGAGAGGTCGAGGGAACTAGTAGGCCGTGTAGCAGTACTAGCCAGGGGGTTCGCTGGTCGGATATTCTTTGGGATGCCTTCCCAGGCTAGTAGGGGGTTTGTTAGACCTTTAGATAATGTCACAGACCGGTTCAGGGTATGAGCAAGAAGAGATCTATGCCTTAGAATCTAAAGGTAAAGAGGGAAGAGAGAGTCTCTGATCGACCATATATACAGGAGTGTGATCACGTGGTGCG